GAAATTTCAAAAGTAAATTTACGTGTAATAAAAAGGAAAAAAGTGGCAGTCTGTGATAATAATTCACTCGAATAAAATGTATCAGTAAGAATCTGTTTACCGCCAGTGCTTTATCTTCTTCAAAAAAGTAACAGTCTTAAACCCAGATATTAAATGCAGTCTTTATATGGAAAAGCTTAGATGATAAAAGTGGAGGTACTTAGTTGTTCGTGCCATGTCGATATTTATTTTTGTTACTCGAACTGTAAAAAAAAAATTCATCTTAGATCTAAATACAATTTTTTACATTACTAATTTATAACGGTAGATTTTAACTGCTTAAAAATTTTTAGTGATTAAACATTTGAGCAACATCTTTTGTTTCAGTGCAAAGGAAAATGTCATTGAAATAGGAAATTAAATTGGGGTAAACTACAGCTAAATTTAAATCCGTAACGTACTTCTTTTTTTGATTTTTGAGCTTGTACCAGGGCCGCGCAGCGGCCCTTATCCCATCCATTATCTTTATTTTGATTGTGGTAGGATTTTAAGGTCAGCAGTCTATGTAGCAGCTGACAAAAAAGAGGTTTATTTATGGGAAAAAAACAACTACATGAAAAAAGTGGTAAGCCATTTATATTTAAAAGGGTGCCAACTATTCCGCTTCCTGTATAAGATTTTAAATGGTAAAGAATTTAAAGCTTAAACTGAAATAAATTTTTTAAAAAATGGTAAATTTCGCTAAAACTTAAAAAGGTTTATCAGAAAATAATTGCTAAAAAAATAGCACTTCACGGGAAATCACGGCTCTCACAATCTTTGAAAAGATTCAGTAGTGGTAGTAAATTTAGGTCATTGCTAAAAGATATTTCTTATTTTAACGTACCACTTTATAGTTACGTGTTTTAGAAGATGGATTTTTCTTGCATATATACTTTCTTTGGAAAACAAATTTTAGTGGCCGCTGAAACCCTGGGAAAGTTTGAATTATTTCATTATAGTGAAGGGAAAAATAAGTTTAAATCGGACTTATTAATTCAAAAATAGTATATTAAGACGCAAAATTTTCTACCACTAATAAACAAGTTGGCATGTTTCTATTTATACCAAGTGAATATTTATTTTTGTTTTCTATCTCTTTGTATTTGTAAGGCTGCAGGGTTTGTATTACATGTAATAAAATTAATTACACGTTAGTTACAAATTAATTACATGTTTTATAATAAAATATTAGGGAATAATTACATAAATAAATGTTCCTTGAAAAATTTAAAAATTGGTGCCAATATTGCAGGGATGCCACAGGCAACTAAAAATGTTGAAAGTGATAGAAACTCAATTCATTTTTATTTATTTATTATCTCTTTAATTATTCAATCGTAACTATCATGATGACTTACATTTAAAATAATTCATATTTAAAGAAAACGCATTTTTAAATTTTAAATTTTACTAGTCTCCACGTTTTGCATATTTATTTACGCGTGACAACCCTGAATATTGTGATGAAGAAGCTCTAATATTTTTTATTAGCATTAACGTCAAAGTAAATAGTCGAAACTATGTAAATTAATAACTAGATATAGTTTTTAGACTAATTAGATATAGTTAAAAATAACTAGAATGTAGTTAAAAATAACTAGAATATAGTTAAAAATAACTAGAATATAGTTTAGAATAACTAGATATAGTTCTTAGGAATTAGAAGTGTTGTGCGAGATGCAAATAAGCATTTCTTTTTCGTATTTCTTTTCTTTCTTTTTTTTGTAATTTTGCTGCGAATTTTTAAAAACCGTACAAACCTTGAAGCAATATTTTCTTACTCCAGAATTAAATATAATTAATATAAAGATAGACAAAAATAAATTATTTCTCAAAAATAAAGGCTGAGGAAAATATAATAAATAGTGCTATTATCCTAATTAAAAAAGTTATGAAATTTTTTTTTTCCATTTTTAATTATGAATTAAAAATTTCATAATTCAAATTTTCTGGCAAGATAAATTAATTTGAAAATATTAATCATAGTAGGGAATATAAATACATTTTGATTCATTATTTTTGAAACCACTTTTTTAAATTTGCTTACGACATTGAAAACCCTGTAAATTACTGATGTATTTATGTTACCGCCTTTTTCTTTATTTTTTTAGAAAAAGAAATCCTTCTTTTTTCAGAAAAAAAGGAAAATATATGGTTAGCAGACATGGATTAAAATCGAGACATTTCTAAGGAATGAATTTTGTTACAAGTAAATAATCTGATAAAACGAAGTCTATGCTTCATTAAAAGTTGTTATAAAAATATTTTTATTATCATAACAATAGAACTGAAACATATTCGGAAAATTAGTAATATAAAAAGAATATCGTAGGCGAAGAAATATTGAGCAATTTATATATATATATAAATTATAATTTTTCTTGATATTTCTGTAGATCGTATCTTAATGCTATGAGAATAGTTATAGTTGATTTTACTTTCTCTAACTATATATTCTTAAACTATTAGTTCTCTGGATTTATTCTTTCAACTTAACTATTTTATCACTAATAGTAAATCAGCAAATAAAATTAAAGCTAAGTTACATAGACTCTGGTTTTTGTGACAAAAACGAAAGCAAGCAATACATCACTTTCAAAATACTTCTTAGAAATGTGAATTAGGGAAAAATTGTCATTTCTTCTTCTTGATTGTTCCCTAAAAAGCGCAAAGGTTGGCACATATGTGAGAAATTTGCATTTGCTAAAAGTCAAATTAAATAATTTTTAAATTAAAATAAATTTCATTTTTCTATTTCATTGTTTCTTAATTTGAATTCAAAAGGCGGCCAAGGGTTGAAATGCTTGATAAGCAAAACGTTTCATGAATACCCATTACTGTGACTTAAGTCCTTTTTAGAGTAGTTTGTTTTTACAAAGAATTAAACTTGTTAACACTAAATATCCTTTATTAATATGTATTTTAAACAATACGTCGACGAGCTTTTTATTCTGCACATAGCTAAAAATGCGTGTTTAGGAAAATGGTGACAGCTCTAAATGCGTGTTTAAGAAAATGGTCACTACTCAAAATAATTGCTTAAGAAATTGAATATAGCTCAAAATGCCTGTTTAAGAAAAGGAGCACAGCACAAAATGAGTTTTTCAAATATTATATCAAGAAAATCTCCCTTTTATAAGAGAATAAATTAATGGATCCAAATAAATTCGTAATGTGACATTTTTTTAAGTTGACTATTTCATTTTAGTATATTTTTTCTAAAATTTGTCTTTTTTGATAGGAAATTAAAAGTCAACAGTTCTTTTTACTGGGTTGTCACGGGCCCTAAAAATGTAAAATAACAGCATTAAATTGATGTTGTTCGAATTTAGATTTCTTTAACTACTTTTACGTTAGAGTTCTGAATATAAAGATATGTCTGAAAAGTTACATTTGTAATATAGGCCACCCCGGACAGGGCCACCCAGCCTCGTTGTCCGCGCTTTTCTCCCATTATAATTATGTTTAGTGTTGAAAAAAATAAGAAAAAGTAATGACGGAATTCAGCTTTGTACGTTTTCTCAAACACGCATTTTGAACTGAGGCAATTTTCATAAGCGTGCATTTCAAGTTATATCTATTATCTATAAGAACGCATTTTGATCCGTGTCTAGAGCAGAAATCTCAATGACCATATTTAAGATTAGGTCCTCAAGACATTAGATTAAATCTTAGTTTGAAAATCCGATCATTAGTTCAAAAGTAATGTATGGTGTTTGCTTTTTTAACCCATAAATGCAGCCTGCCTAAAAGAAGGCAAAAAAAGTAACATAAACAAAATTTCCTTTTTTTTTCTTCTTTTTTACACAGCCAAATTAATCAACTACACTGTCATCACTCACCAGGACTATTTGTATTCCAGGGAACGAGGAGAAGCCTGTAGTAGAACCACTTCATTTCTAAAAAGGAAAACAAATGTTCGTAATTATTGAGACTTATCAAAAACTATTTTCCCCCACACTGTTAGAATTTTCATTCTAAAATTATGGTAAAATAACTGGCAGCTGTCTGTCTATCCGATTAACCGTAAAGTTTACGGGAAAGAACATTTTTTTCCTTTATGGTTTTGAAATCATTTATCAAAAGTATGGTTATAAAACCATGAATACAAAACTAAACGGTTTCTTACCCATTTACAATTATCATTTTTCAAAAACGGAAAAAAATATATAATCATTTAACTAGACATACTAGCTCGTCTTCTCTTAAGGTAATGGGCATTGGAGAGTGCCGGACACTATAGATTCTTCATGTTTTAAAGGGAATGAAGGAAATATTGGTTTGTCAACACTAGGACTTGAACTCCAGTTCTGCCAGTCATGAGATTGACAGATAAGCCCGCTCGGCTATGATATGTACACAGTATCTTCATTAGGTGGCTCTAGTTGGTGCGATAAAATTCTGGTTGTTTAACTGTATTAGGTGAAAGCAGTTGATAAAGAGTTTTTCTCAACAATTTGATTACATTTTATTTATGGTTATTTGACTGTTTTGATTAAGTACGGTAAAATAACCATTCAATAAATTGTTATTTAACTATTTTTTCCGAGAAATGTCTAACAGTGCATAACAAAAATTATGTATAAATTTTATACTTTTTAATAAGTCTTGGTAGCCAAAATTTTTAATTTTTTCTCTCGAAAACCGTCTATCATTAGAATATTTTTACTTAAAGCTTTTTCTTCTTTATTTCACTTCAAATATGAAGTCAATTGTATGGCCAATTATTAAAAACAGGAGGAAAATCTTCCATACTCGTGCACAGGTTGTCACCGACAAAAAAAAAGGGGGGGGATTCTCAATATCCAAATCACTGAGTGCCAGGATTCCTTTGATCAGATCATGGATAAACTTCCTTTATTTGTTCTTAAAGTTTCAACGAGCATAAATCTTTCTTTGGATTATATTATCTTGTTTTACGTAAATTTAAAGCTACAACTATTGTGTTGATTCAAAATTAACAATGGTTTCTGTTACAGCTGGAAAGTTCAAATGCCACTCATGTGTATCTTTATAAGACGGACTTGAATACAGAAGGTACTTATGGATGTGAAGTATCCACGGAAGCACCTTCATTTCGAACTGTCAAAGCTGATAAGGAACTAAGAATATATGGTAAGAATTCTTACACCTTCAAAGAGTTCATTACGTCATTCTTATAATAACAGTTATTTCGAGTTATATAAAATTAAAAAAAATATATTGAATTGTTATTTATTATATAATTTTTATTTCTAACAGCAGATAGACAGCAAAAGCGAAAGGAAAAAAACGACTAACGTATGTTTCAATACCTTAAAAAAATGAACTACGCTAAGATTTTCAAAAATATTTCTTTCTGACATAAATATTAGAAATCTTATCTAGTAATACAAAGTAATTGCCCCCTTGTAATTGCCCCCCTCCAATTGTGAAACATAGTAATTGCCCCCCTCCAATCATTTAAGTTTTTATTAAAGGATTTTATTATGTGGTTATTTAATAATGTTATTAAAGTGTTGTAGGGGAGAGATAAATCATGGATTAATTTCAAAGGCAATATTTTTAACAGAAATCAAATTTTAATGGATTTAATCGAATCGATCGAATAAATCGACTTTCGGAATTCGATTTTTAAATATTTCAAAATGAAAAATGCAACTTAATTAACGATTGGCTTAGTTTCTAAAAGACACTTTCCGCCCCTAAAAATGTGCATAAGTTTTAAAACAAAAATAAAGTAATGTAAGATATGAAAATGATAGTTCATGTGAGAATGACTTCTTTTTAAATTTAATTTCATGTGTGCGTCATATATGCCGGATTTCCATATCTATGTGAGAGAGAAAATATAATTTAAGCAAAAATATCATACCATTATGCAAGGACATAGGATATGTCATAATTTTTCCATTTAAGACCATGATCACGTGATTCTCCCCTCACGGCCCATGGTATCAAATCTAAAAGGAGCCTTTCTGACTCCAGCGGCCCAAAATTACACAAACGCCATCTCAATTCGTTACTTTCCATAGTAAATTGTGGTTAGTAGTTAGTAGTTTTTGTTTGTAAATTGTCATTTCATATTAGTACATATTAGTTCTCTTTAAGACTGAAATTCTGGGAAAGCACTTTTTTATCCTTCTACCGGCCCTGAGGGTGGTTAATAATCAGAAGCACATGCTAATTATATGATTTTGAATTCTTTATTTGATTGAATTTTAAAGGAAGGGTCTCTCGGAATGGACAGCATTTCGTGTTTTGATTTTGCTGGAACTATGTTCATTATTTTAAATTTTACATTCCATGTATTATCAAATGTCTCTAGCATAATGTTTTAAATATTAGAAGATATTTTTTTCTAGCATCAACAATATACAAATATTCTTTTTTGCCCGAGTTAGTTTATGTTAATTTTTAGATCATTGAAATTGAAAGTCAATTTGATAAAAAAGGAGAATTTTCAATACCCTCTTTCCTTTGTTTCTAATCAAGGTTCAAAAGCTACTTGTAAAATGTATGCTAAGTTTGGAGAGGTTACCATATCTAAAATATCCACTCGTGATATCTTTGCCAAGTATAAAAAGCTTAAGTTTTGACCTTAAGGGCACACCTTGTTCTGTTCGTTGAGTTCGATGAAGAACGATTAAATCAACTTCTGCAATAAAATTCCCGTCAATCCACAAGAGAACAGACAAAGCAAATTGAATGCTCTTATACTATTTTTCTTCAAAAACTAATAGTAGGAAAGTTACCTGTTTAACAGGTTCAATGTCATGGGGGTCACCTGTGACCTGCACTGAGTTTGTTTGTAGCACCACGGGTGTCACCAGTGACCGGGGAAGCCAAGATTGATAGAAATACATAATTCGAGTAAATTTTTAATGCTTTTAATTTTTTTAAATATTATTATCCTTACTGAAATGGTTTGAAGAAATCAATGCAATATAGAACACACAAAAATAGTTTCATTTATATACACAGAGATGCCAACTTGCTCCGGACAGCGAATAAATATTTTCAAATGGTAGTTTATTAATTGTGATTCTTGGTATAATAAATTCAATTTAGAACATTTTTAACCACCGCAATTTCTAAACAATTCGTAGATTTATATAATTCACCACTTTTTTCAGATATGTCATACTAAACTTCTTAAAAAACTAACAAAATCTGTCTAATATTTGCAAATTTAGTTTGTAGTTATTTACCGTTTGGCCAGACGGTCAATCCATGTAAAATTAGAGTGGCATTCAACGTGTTAATGTTAATGAGCAATATAAATCATAAAAGTAACTTGTTATAAATAGAATAATAAATAAGCATATAATTTTTAAAAAATTTCCGTGATTATGTAAAAATATATCTTTTAAAGCATCTGTTTAAATTATTTACGTCGTTTTAGAATTATTCTCAAAAAAGATTTAAAACCAGAGCATGAGTTTTTTACAAAATTGCTTAATGTTTCCTAATTATCAAAAGACGTTTATCGTGATCTTGAAACAGGAACTAAAGCAAAGAACGTTCGCATTTTGTTCATTTTTACCTGGATTTTCTTCCTTAAAAATGAAGGAAATTTAGCGTATTGTACAAAAAGCTTTTTAACAAAGATACTCCTGCGAAAAAAAAAAAGATCGGAAATATATGCAAATGAGAATCAATATAAACGAGGCTGTTTGTGCCCTATTTTAATCATTTATTTTAGAAATACCTGAAATATTTTTTTTTGGTTCAATATTTTATCATACAGCAGCTGCCATTGCAAAGAACAGCCTGGTTTTGAAAAATAATTAAACACAGAAAACTTTTATTTGTTTGTTTTAAAAACTTACCAAAAGATAATTTCGAAAAAATATTAATGATAACCGTAAAAAGGCTTAACTGCAACTTTTCGAACTATTGTATTTTGAATATTTTATTATTTTGAACTAGTTCAGATCTTTAATGTTAAGCAATTTCACATAAAAAAGAACTTTTATGTGTTGCAAACAGTTGACATACTTTTTTGCAAATACTTTTGGGATAATTGTTTTAATTATTTATAAGTATTACTAAACCTGGCAACAAGTTAATTTCAAATTGATAGCTTACATAATACTTCAAATACTTTTAATCATGGTTATCCTGAAGGCATTCTATATGTATAAATGCTTGATTATACAATTTACATTTTTTTAAATAGTTGCTACAAGTAACAACATTACATAGCAACGTAGCAACGTAACAACATGTAACAACATAGCAACGTAACAACATGTAACAAAATATGTAACAACATAGCAACGTAACAACATAAGTATAATTATAAACGTTTTACACTAGTATATTTTATGAATTTATTTGAAGAAGTGTAAAAAATTTATAAATAAGTTAATTGCTTATTAATAAATCAATCAACAGTACTGCTGTAAAATAACAATTGAATTGGCTTTACGAAACGTCTTATATGCTTATAAATAACTTTCAATTTAAATTTTTTAAATACAAAACCATGCGTGTAATTCCAAATATAACAATTTTTAGAGCTGAATATTGACACTATTATCATACTCATCAAATAAGAAAAATTCCTTTTATTAAGTTAAGGAAAATCTGAATCCTTTAACTGATTGCCATTTAAAAGCAATCGAAATATTACAACTATTATCAAATTTTCATTTGAATTTGTTTAAAGAAAAGTTTCAGACTTAACCTCATAAAAAAAACAATTTTCAATCCTCAATATCAAAATAATTCAATACCGATTAAAATTCCAAATTTCTTCTTGAATTTATTAATAAATAAATCCTAATAAAGAAATTTATCATAGTATAAATAGTCAATTAACAATATTAAGAGTTGCGAGCTCTTATTGCCACTTCTTTATTTTTATTTTTGAAGCATAGATCTAGTAATAAATATTTATCCAGACGACATCAAACCAAATAGTTTTTAACCCTCAATATTAATACATTGCAATGCCCATCTAATGGAAAATTTCATCTTGGTTTCGATTTGACCATCAATAAACCCTTTTGGAAGAAAAAAAAATTATCCATATCAAATATAGTCACTTAAAAGCAATCCAAGAGTTGCGATCATTGCCAAATGCATCCTAAAGCCTTAATAAAGAAGAAGAAACATTTCATTGATTACTTTATAAATTGCTTCTTCCCTGCTGAGCCCATTACAAGACGACTGACAAACTTACCTAACGCACTAATCACTTAAAAACAAAACCAAAAGGCAAGGAGCTCAACTACCCCTGGTATAAACGCTGGCGTAATTGCTATGCCATACGTGAGGCGCCTAGCTTCTTGCCCTTAAGTAACTTAGGTTGAGTCTAAATGGTTCAGCTTTCACATTGAGCCGTAGCTATCGTTGTCTTTGTTTAGGTGTAATCAATAGCTTTGTGGGTTCCGTAAGAAAACCTCATTGAAAGGGTGACTCTAGAAGTTTGGTTTTGAGGGACTAACTGTTGTTTCCTTCGTAAACTAGTGCAACCACAAGAATTGTAGTTAACATGCGGATCTTGCTTAACAACTGATGGGAATTCTTCTTTCTTGTACTCTTTGATCGCCTTGTAACTTCAGAGTAGACCAATAAAATAGTACTTATGAGCCATAGTGACGCATATAAATTCATACCATGATATTTACAGATTGGTTTATAAAGGGATCGTATAGTATGTGAAAATATTTCAAATACATCATAGCTAAAATGCAAAGCATTAAAATATGAACTATTTTATGATTTAAATTTGAATATTTCGATTTATTATTCTCTTTCATCGTATTGTGACTTCAAAGTAGAACAATAATATACTACTTATGAGCTATAGTAACGCATATAAATTCATACCGTGATATTTATAGATTGGTTTATAAAGGGATCGAATAGTAAATTCAAATACAATCAAATTCAATCAAATACAACATAGCTAAGAAGCAAAACATTTAAGTATGGTCTTTCACCATTTAAATTTGAGTATTTTAGTTAGTTGCACCCTTTGATCGAATTGTAACTTCAGAGTAGAAGTGTAAAATACTACTTATGAGCCATAGTAATGCATATAAATTGAAACATCGATATTTAAATATTGGTTTATCATGGGATCGTATAATATGTGAAAATATTGCAAAACCAGTCGCTAAAAT